AAATTAAAACCAAATCAGGAAGTGTTTAACATTATTTTTCATGGGAGCCATTATCAAAATGATACTCCAGGAGAAGTGCAGTGGGATCAAACTAGCTTTTTTCAGAGTTATTGAGTGAGAGGGGATGTTTTCTGCCCAGAATTGCCTGGTGGCAACCACTAGCAGAGCAGGGGGGTCTGCCCCTCCTGGAACAGGCATGTGTCCTGTGTGTGACAGCTCACTGGAACTCAGGCCAGGCAGAGGGTGGCACAGGGTCTGGAGACATGTGTTGGGCTACAGAGCTCTCACTCATCCCACAGCCACCTCTGCTTCCTCAAGGGGATGGGGGTTATCCCCAGGTTGCAGGTTCATGTATTTTCAGGCAAATTTTGACCATGTCTGTATTAATAATAATTTTTTAACAAGATAATACAAAGGTATATATGCCATTTTAGCTGTCTGATTCTCTTGATCTTGCGGCAGGGAGGGGAGCCGCTTGCCAGTCAAACATTTACTCACTAGCAGAGGTTGGTAAACTTCCATCACAAACAGTGTGCAAACAGGGACACCTCAGTATAATATGGGATGCTGAGTGAGGGTCACCCCCTATGCTGCTCATCTAATTCGGCTTCTATGCTGTTCTTGACCAATTCGACTCTCTCAGTTCTGTCCCCAGATCTGCTCTGACTTGTGCTGGTGAGCAGCATCAATTCATAACTGGCATGACTCATTAAGGCTGCTGTGGCTTTACTTAACAGCTTTTAGCAATGGGGTGAAACCTTTGCATAACAGTGGAACAGGCAGGGCACACATTTGCACATGCAGTGCCATCCAAATGAAGAGAAGGTCTTGCAGCTGTGGACAGGAAAGAAAAGAATGAAATTATGCATTTCTTGGTTTCTAAGTTCCCTGATCTATGCTGCTACAAGAGATGCTGTCGGCCTGCTTTCACACTGCATCCATAACTCCGTGTCACTTTGCAAAGTATCAATGGTTTTTAGAAAATCTTGCTTTGCTTCAGCCACTTTCAAGCTTGTGATAATTTTCAGTTTATTCCTCTAACAGACTCTCTCTGTTTTCTGTCTTACGACCTCTTTCCAAATTCCTCACTTTTCCCTTTTTGTGTATTTATTCCTCTGGTGATATCAATTCTTTGTTAAATGGAAATTTCACTCTAAATTCTCTTCTACTTCATAAAACAGTTTTCCTAAAGTGTGATCTGGGCTGGAGTACTTTCAGTACTTCATTGCTTTCTGTCTGTGTCCGACTGCACTGTCTTTCCCAGATTAGATGATATTTCAGTCACAGCTTTCTTTTTTTTTTTTTCAAAACACTATTAAGTGACTGTTTTGAGAAATACAAGAAGAAATCTCTTTGTTCCAGAGACGACTTCTTTCGCTGGTCCATGTCTTTCTTTATTTATTTAAAAGCAGATTAATTGTTTGCTCTAATGAAATAAGACATTTCCTTCCTCCTGTGAAGGATCATGGAGAACCAGAGGCCCCTTTGTTTATGGTATGTGACAAAATTAATAGCAAAGCAATGAAGGAATCACTTTTGACTTGAGTGAGTTTAGCGGCTGTTGGTGGAATTACAGTCCTCTCAGGGCACTTGGCATCACGGAGGCCTGGGGCCTCAGAGAGCTATTCCTCTCCACCAGACTGGCGATGCTGAAGATTTTAATCTGTGATCTATTACAGTTTTCCAGCATATTGCATTAATCACAGGGCATATTCTTCTTCCTACTCTAATGTGTGACTAATATCCCACTGACTCGATGAAAAGACTGGAAAAGCCTATAGATTATGGTGTAAATTAATTCACTACCACATGGTACTAATCGTACACTGTCATGTTGTACTCTGCAGCAGCTAGAAGCAGCATTTGCTGTTGACACAGCCATAACAACACTGTATTCATATCAGTAATTTACACTTACACAAAGCACATGAGGAAAATAGGTAATAAAAAAAGTCTACAGATTTTTCATATTACAGGCTGGCAGTAACACCTGACTATTACTGCTGTCACTCAGAAGGCATGTTTTTGTACTTGACAAAAGAAACAGCTCAGTGTTAGTAACATGGGGTTCAGCCTCACACACTACAGCTGTAACATGTAAATATTAAATCAAGGATGAAAGTATTCAGCTAAACAAGAACCATTTGGGAGAATGGGTGGATAAGAATGCATTAATTATATATATTGAGGGATGTATAAATTGGAAATCCGTGAACCTGCTTTGCATGAAGACCCTGATTTCATATCACTAATGACAATATATTTCTAACTCCCTGATGGGCATGTCTGCTTTCTGATCTCCATTTGCTCCAGCTGGGGTAACAGGGTGGCAGTGTGGACTGATAGTGACAGTTTCACAACAGGCAAGTACTCAGAATCATAGAATTTGCATGGTAAATAAGAAGCATAGACTTGCACTGCTCTGGCTCCAAACCCAAGGATCTGCTTCATGTGGAAGAGTTTTAAGAATGTTTGTAAGAATAATAGAATTATTAAAAAATATTACTAAAGAAGCCAAGCATTAGATATTAGCATGCAGCACACTGAATATGAAGTCACTGTTGCTTTCACTGGAGCTGGATGCTGAAAGGTGAGTACAGGCAGAGTTTCAAACATCTAAGCACGTACCTCCCAACAACTATTATTTTCAAGGCTAACTAGATACCAATATCACTTTCAAGTCTTATTTCTAGAAGTCTCAGTTCTTCTCAAAATGAGTACAAGCTTCAATGTTTTGTTCTTTCTGAGTAAGCATGGTGCGAAAGGTAAAGAAGGGGAGCTTTTTATGATGCCAAATTCAGTGTGGCAAACGTTTTGGCTCCTATCTGTAGCTGGATCGAAGGATGCACAAATGTGAGCACACATGCTCACCATTTCATGTATGCACACATGACTGGGAATACTGTCATACAATATAGGTTGAAACGAAATAAATCACAAAGTTCCCTGCTGCTGTCAGATACACTATACCTACAGAGAAGCACAGAAAGGAAATGCATTTTTATGTTGCTTAAACCACAGATCCTATTCAACCATTAACATGCAAGCTTTTTCATCCCGAACTGTGAACAGCTACATGACATTAACTGGGAAGGAACCAAAAGCTGTTCTTACACAGGAGATCTGGGTTCAGTCCTGCCTTTGCTATGGAATTCCTGGATGGTTTTGGAGAAGCCATTTAATTCATTTGTGTTTTCCTTTGTAAAATGAAAATCAATTTTTGCTTTCTCCTATTTCTTCTGGCTTTTGTTTTAAAGATATAATCTCAGGCAAATACACTTTCTTTAGATAGAAATCTAAATGCAAGTGCCTCATTCAATTTGGCTTTGTGGTACAAATGTAATTCAATTAATTAATGTAAGAAATATAAACCTAGTATGGGTTATGCCTGATATATAATTTGAGGGACAATCCGTGGCATATTTCTCTGCTGACAGCTATCCTGGCTTTGTTACAGTGTGCATCTGCTTTTCCTCCCAGAGGAATGCACTCAACACGGCTCAGACGATTGCAGTCATGTCCCTGCTCAGAAGCTGATGCACAGATAGCTCGAGTCTCAGACTGACTAAAACCACAGCGCAGAGGAGAATCTCCACAGCTCCGTGCATTCAGAATGCAGCCTCCAAAGCATAGTTAAACCCACGAGGTTCCAAAACTACTGTAGTTTGAACCCCTGATGCATATTATGTGTGTTGCCACCACTGTGCTGCACAGCCTTTGCAGTGACATCTTATACATGCAGGAGTCATCCTCCAACGCACTCCACCTTGACCACTGTTCTTATCTCTGGCTTTCCTCAGCTCTGGCAGGACTGCACTCACCATGAGGCCACCCTGGTGCCTGCGGCCACGGCACCTATCCCCGACAGCTGCTACCCCTATTCCTTGGGAAACACTGCTCAAAGGGAGAAGGGGCACCTCCTAGGCCTGGGGAATCTGGCAGTGCTGGGGCTGCCCCTAAGCAGAGGGAGCGCGCCCGAGGGGCACCCCGGCAGCAGCGCCCGCTGGGCTCTGCAGGGCTCAGCGCATACTGGATTTGTAAGCGACGAGCAGCCGCGAAGGACGAATAGCTTGATGGGCCACATCCTGCCGCTTCCCGCCGCCTCGCTCCCGGTCCGGTCCCGCCCCGCCGCTCCCGGGAGGTGGCAGTGTGTCCCCACGGAAGCGCCCGCCCCGCTCCCAGAGGGCAGAGCAGCGCGGTTAATCTCGCTCTCACTCGTTTTCCGCCCATCTACGGACGGGGTTTCTCGCGCATGAAAGGCACACTTGTGAACGATCTATAAAACACAGGTGGGCTTCACGGTGAGGGAGCTGCTAAGTGCTGCAGCTCAGCCGAGAAACCGGGTTTACGGACAGCGGTCGCGATGCTGGCGTGTTTATTACACGTGTATACGCACGTCTGTACTAATACATACATAAAGGTGTATGAATATAAACGTATATCAAGACTTGGTGCAGAGGATCTATAAATTCGGACAGAGAGAAGCGCTTAGCCGCGATGCCATTTACATTTTGATTATGCGCTTAGGGTGGAAGACGCGTGGATGCGTGTCGGATGTCCGTATGCCACTCCAAACCTGCACGCTCTCATAGGCAGCGGCTAAGGTCCCTTTAAATCCTCCCTCCTCAGCGGCCAAGTGCGGGATTCGGGCCTCGTTAGCCAGAACAGCTCGCAGAGGTACTGCAGTACGGAGGGTCCATAGACCATCCCCGGACCACAGCGGTTTCTGAGGACCGCCCAGCCCAGCCGGTCCTCACGGCCCCGCCGCAAGTGGCTCTTCCCCCGTCACCCGCTTTCTAAAAGCCCTCTTCCCTTTCCTTCCTTTCCCCGCTGGGGCAGGAGCCCCTACGAACCCCCCAGCAAGAGCCTTCGCGCTGCCTCCTGGAGCAGGACCGCAGCATCCCCCGCCGGGAAGCCGGCAGCTGCCCGGCTCCCCAGGCTGTGAGTCCGCCCCGACGGCAGCGGCCGTGCTCTGCGGGGCAGGGCGGGGCGGCACTCACCTGACGATGACATACATGACCAAGAAGTTGCCGAAGAGCCCCACGACGCAGACCACGGAGTAGAGGGCCATAATGGCGATGGCCGTGAACACCGAGGGGCCACCGCCCGCGGGCGCGCAGGGGCCGCCGCCGCCGCCCGCGCTCCCGTTGGCGCCGCCGCACGGCTCGGACCGGTTCCATCCCGCCGAGGTGTTGCCCCAGGCTGCCGACGGCGCGGCCGCGCAGGGGGACGCGGCGGGGCGGCAGGCCGAGGCGTTGGCTGCGAAGGGCACCTCCAGGGCGCCGGCGAGGAGCGGCGCGGAGCCGTTGCCCAGCAGGTAGGCGACGGCCATGGCGCGCAGCGGCGTCAGCGCGGCCACCGGCTCTCCGCGCCCGAGGGCTGCTCGGCGCAGTTGCTGTCGCGGTGCTGCCGCGCTGCCGCGGTGCGCGGTGCCAGGGAGGCGGTGGCTGCGGCGGCAGCGACGCCCGCCCCGACGGAGCGCCCCGGCGCTGGCTGCGGGCACATGTGTGCGGCGGGCGGGGCGGGCAGGGGAGGAGGGGTCCGCACCGACGGGAGCGGCTGAGGCGGCGGGGAGGCGGAGCTTTCTGCCCCCAAGCTCCGCCCAAAGGGAATGGGGCACGGGCAGCCGCCGGCGCTGCCATCCTTTGCCGTGAGTGGAGCCGTCTGTGGGCTCACCGGGTGCATAGCGCCCGTCGCGCCGCTGGAAGTCCGGGTGGAGCGGGGCCGGTCCTGCAGGTTTCCCCTTCCTTGCGGATGGCACTTGACAGCAAAGCGCTTAAAATGTTTCCCAGGGCCTCAGGCACGGGTGGGAAACACAGAAAGTACCTGGAAAGGCTGAGGGTGAGAAGCGGGGAAGGGATGAGATTAGCGATTAACGTAATGAGTCAGGAATCTTGAAAAAACGGTATCTTCTGTGATTATAGAGATTGCTGCGCCTTGTGGTGAACTGTACAGCACCATGCTGGAAGGGTGACTGTCATCAGAATTGTGCTCGAGAAATGACTTGGGTCTCCTGGATCCTCAGGATTTTCCCAGGACTTTGTGTTCCAGAGCCCTAGCGATGCTCTCCCCTAGACATTGGTGTGATTGTTGTTGGATGCGGTAACATAGATAAGGAAGACATCAAAACTGCTCTCTGGACTGCAGTGCTTGACTTGCGCACTGCTTCTTTCCATTAGCCCATTTCTGTGATTAGGTTGTTTCAGATGAGCATGGAGGTGTGTCTCAAGGAGCACCTTCTGAATGGTCAATCATTAATTATTAGGATTTAGCTCGTTTTACTCTCTCATCAATGAAATCAGAGGGCATACTTGGTAAAGCAGAAAAAAAACCTCCTAGTAAGCCAGAAGGAGATAGAGTGGCAGTGATTGCTCCTGCTGCCTCCTCATGGACGCACGCTTAGTATGTCTGCTTGCCATGTGCAGAGCACCTCCCGCTACTTCAGGAGTGGTAATGGGAGGGGAGAAGCAACTTGCACCCTGAGGGAAAGATGCAAAACCCCAGGCACTTCAGTCCTGTGTTTCCATGCCACAAGCAATAGGAACCAGTGCCAACCAGGGCAGGTAACAGCAGCAGAGTTAGATCACATGCTCTTCCACTGTATCTATGTTCATTAGAAGTGGGGAGGAATAAGGGAGATTGGGAAAGTGGTGTCACTGGACTTCAAGAGGGATATAGATCTGGGTAACTGGTATTCCTGGTAACTTTTAGTTACCTATAACAGGTTACCTATAGCCGGTAACTTTTTCCAACCTATGTACTGTCAAGTCTTGTCAGGCAAATAGTGGAATGGAAGAAGAAGATCAAGCAAGCTGTTAATGGGCACTTTTGGCAGATAGCATGTATTACTTCATGGCCAGAGAGAGTATTTTCAGCATCCTTTATTGATAGGAGAGAGCCATTTAGCATCGTATTCAGAAAAAAAAGAACTTTAGGAGTTATGTTGTCTGTGGAAAAAAATCATGGAGAAGGGGAAATGAAAGCAAGAACTCTGAGATTTCATATGGTCAAAGCCACTGCCTCTTTATCCCCCTCTGAAGTATAGCACGCTTAGTCATACACAGAGCGGGAGGAACAAGGCTTTAAACCCTGGCCTTTCCCAAAGACTTTCATCCCTGGGTATGTGCACAGTGTGCAGTAGGCTCTCTCTGTGCTTAGTCTTTGTTCCACCCAAACCATCAGAAATGTTTAATGTAAGCCTGGGCACAACTTGTATTTAGCCCTTTATACCTGTGCCTTGCTGTGGAAGGGATGGGGAAGATGGGGAAGAAAAATCAAGGCTGCTAGGAGACCCACTTAGTATCTTGTGTCATAGCCAGGTTTGTATCATACTCATTGTCAGTAGGGCCTTTGGTGTATTGAAAATGCATGTCTTAAGAAAACCTTAAAAAATAGATGCCCAGGTAAATCTGGTGTTACATACAAGCCCTTATTATTAAAGACAGAAGAATTATTATGCCTGATTAAATCAACCTTTTGGTAGGTGCAGATGAAAACCAAGGCTGCAGAGAGGACTGGCAAAAAGCCCTGGGAGTTGAGCCTGTTTAGGACAGGCTCCATTAAACAAAATTTCAAGGTAGGGGAATGATAGTTAAATGCACCTCTTTGCAAAGTTATTACAAATGCTATTTCTCAGGGACATAGGCAATATGAAATAAATCTTTACAATAATGCCTTCAGATGGTGAAGGACATTTTAAGTGTAGTAATGCCTGAGACCCTTTCTTCAAATCATTTCAGATAATAAGGATTGTGTAGTCAAGGTTCTGCTGAAAAGGTTATTTGTGAAGTTGTAGACTGGTAATTCCTTCTTGTTGGTAATAGTGTAATGCATGTAGAAAAGGGAAATGCATAGCTTTGGGACATGTACATTTTTCTTCGATGCCTCCAACATCAGGTTGGGGTCAAGAATCACAACCTCCATCTCAAATCAAATTTTGATTCTCTCTTTTCTGCCAGATCACTATAGGAAATCACAAATTGCCAGATCGCAACAGGAAAGTTTCTGGGACTGTAGCTAGAAACAGATGGACTTGAAAGCTTGTGAAAGGCTTAAGACTAGCAGAGAGTTTTAGGATGAAAATAGTTTGTGAAAGACTGTCCTGGGAGTACTGGTCAGTGAGATCACTTTGATACAGTATAGATTGTATGTATTTCAATAACAAACCCAGAGTTTCATGTAGTCCTTTCACTTCCACAGTCTCTCCGTGAGTCCTAAACTAAATGGAAACCATGTGTCTTGCTTACAGTCTAGTTAAGAAACAGAGCTGAGACATTGGTTGTTGTGGTTGGCAGTTTGCAAAGATAGCCTCTATACTAGTGTCATTGTGGTGTGGCCTGTTTCTTCTAGGAGCAGGGCAAGAAGGCATCTGGAAGCAGACTGTGCTGTTTGTCAGCCTTGCTGATGGAAGTGTTAAGTCTCCTCGCAGTGTTACCTAAGAGTCTGTGTTGCATCCATGTATCCCGAGCAGAATGAGCAGAAGTTATGCAAGAGATGGAAGGAGAACACTACCTCAGTAATCTCAGAGCCATCTGCATCACAGTCTTCAACCCGTTCTGAAGTCCTCCAATACCCACATTCTCCTTTCTCTCAAGGTGATACAGCAATAATGTTTTGGTAGCAGCACTGTGAAGGCTATTTTAAAGCATCTATACAGTACTAGCAGGCTGTATCAGCTGGCTTAGGTGATAGGAGCCCAACTCACCATGCAATGCAAGGAATGTGTGGCATGGAAAATAATATTTAAGAACTTACAGGCAAGTCTGTAAATTACTATTTCAGTACTCTATTTCCAGAAGGGTTGACTGTGGTCACATTAGCTGACATTTTATCTAATGTAGCTCAGACAATTTCTCTATGTCTTGTTTCTTCTTTAAGGCATTCACCCGAAATCATGCTAGCTGAGATCAGTATGTCTCCTATTCCTTAGCTGCAGTGCAGTATGTTAACCAAAACTTATCTTTATTCCCTGAAGTAAATAGAACTTACATTGTTCAGTGATTGTTCAGGATTTTAGGTATGATTTTTATTCAATAATTCTACATAATCCTGGAATTTAGGCTACAGAATTCCAATGATGAAAACTATAGATAATCTATTAGATTTGTAGATATCAACAGTTCTCTTTCATATAACTTCAGGATTTGTAGCATTTGCCTATGTTTGCTTGAAAATTCTAATCTTCATATACAAAGAAAATAGTTCTGTGGATTTTGGCAGCAAAAGCCCAATTGTTAGCCAGACAAAGAAGAAGTTAGAGTAGATGGTGATAACTGTGAGAAGAAATGCAGAGACCAGGGTATGGAGCAGTTGGTAGGAGGAGATAGTAGTGAAGTTAAAATCCAGGATGTGAGGGACTTGGGTAGGACTGTAGTGTCCCTTAGCAAAGGGAAGATTGACAGGTGCTAATGGAGTCCAATACAAAACCAGCTCAGTTCAGGTGTCTAGTGCAAGCCACTGCTGAGGAGGTGAGATGCGAGGTAGATCACTGGTCTGATGTAGTGGAGATTTCATTCTCTTTTACAGGTGTTTAGCTGCGAGGGGACTAGGTGCTGACTTGGGAAATGAGAGTTGTCCTGACTTCTGGCATAAAATCTGTGTGCACATATTTAAAGTGGTATGTTTAAAGTTGACTAGTTTGTGCTCCACACTAGTCATGAGAGGACTGATTTTTGGAAGTGGGGGACACCAGTGCCAACTGCCTGAATGGCCTGGAGGGCTGCTGTAAATTCTGGGGTGCTAGGAATATGTGACATGTTTGCTATAGTTTGAGTCCCTAAAATTAACTGACTGCTTTGACAGATTTGATACGAAAGTTTTTGACTCATTTTGTAGCATAATATTTAGGATAATAATGTTTTAATAACTCATGTATGAGGCTGGTCTCCAGTCAATTGTCTTTGTGGAGAGTAGAAGTTTCTGTGTTCAGCTTTTTCTTTCTTCACATGGGAGAAGCTGTCTCAGTCATTTGTACTACTTCTGTTATTAGTGACCCAGGTCACCTGTGTCTCCTTGCTAAGTTGTGACAGTTGCCTGCACAGCTAATGGTGGCAAATACTAAGTCCACTAGTTGAACAACTTCAGGTTCCAGGATCTCTGAGTTCTTCTGCACTCATGAAAATGTATCTTCCAGTTTCAGTAACTGTAGTTATGAGTGATAGCTTCTGTGTTTGTATTACAAGTCAGAGGGACATCATGGTTTGGGGATATAGACTTGGACTTCCTTATCTGACATGGCTGCTAGGCAGATTCACTAGTGTAATAAGGCTCTGTTAACAGAACTATGCTTGAAGAAACTAACAATTTTGTATTTGCTGATTTGGAGCTATATATTGAATAAGAATGAAGGTGTTCTGAAAAACTACCGCTGTATTCAACGACATAAAGGTCCAGAGGCAGTTAATGTGTGATACAATTAAACACTAAAGGGGAACACTTAAGTTCATACAATCTTACATTTCCTAACTCTTGAATATTTTGACTCTTCAAGTTTAATTCATGGTTAT